TATATACATATTACTAAATTTCTATTTGTTTTTCTCCTGGTTATCTGCCTTTCATTGCAAGAAGGTGGGTTTTAGCCAAAAATCTGAAAGGACAGTGAAAATAATTTTTTGTTCCCCATAAATCTCATAAAGGAAGGAAATCTTATAAATCTCAAGAAGGAATATCTTAAGGAGTTGCTTTGTTGATGCTAGAAGAATGCTGTTATTTAAGGCTGAGCAGGTGTTTCTGCTGATGGTGGAGGTTTGGATGCAGATACACAATGCACAGTAGAGGTGAGAGAGGAGGTGAAAGGCCAGAGGAAAATTTTTGTTTATAATTTTTTTGGTCTCATTACAAAACCTAGACTTTATTTCACACCTGTTCTAGCAGAATAAAGCTTCAGTGAGTATAATTGCTCTTCTAAAATTCATTAAAAATGCAATAAATGCACAATTATTTTTCCTTTTTCCAAACAAAAATTATCTCCTGGAATTCTGGAGTATGACCAGAGTTTTCTGTAAGAGTAACTTTTAAATCTATGTGAAAATTGTTTAGTTGTCATGAATTAATGAAAGATTCACTAGAGTATTTCCATCTGATTCTCAGTCTATCCTTTTCATAGTCTTTCTCTTTTGTATCTTGGATAAATAATGTTCAATAAAGTTCTTAATATCTGAAGAAGACTTCACTAGAATAAAGTTGGTTATAGGGTATCAGTTAATAAATAAAACAAGAAGTTATTGGTTTCATAAGAGGCTAGAATAACATTGGTCATAGTGTGTTATGAAATTTAAGTTATGAAACAAGGATTGATACCGAATATCCAGTATGATAATAATTGTGAAGTTCTACAGGTATGCAAACTAGCATTCTATTAAAAAAAATCATCCTGAGAAGTTTATCAAAGTGTTACAAAAGTTTTGAAAATTTTCATATCATTTTTTTTAAAAGATGACTCATATTTATTTTTTTCATTTATTTTTATTAGTTGGGGGTGAATTACTTTACAATATTGTAGTGGTTTTTGCCATACATTGACATGAATCAGCCATGGATTTACATGTGTTCCCCATCTCTCTGGGTCTTCCCAGTGCACCAATCTTGAGAACTTGTCTCATGCATCCAACCTTGGCTGGTGATCTGTTTCACCCTTGATATTATACTTGTTTCAATTCTATTGTTTCAGAACATCCCACACTCGCCTTCTCCCACAGAGTCTTCTGTTCTGTACATCTGTGTCTCTTTTTCTGTTTTGCATATAGGGTTATCTTTACTATCTTTTAAAATTCCATATATATATATATGTTAGTATACTGTATTGGTCTTTATCTTTCTGGCTTACTTCACTCTGTATAATACTCTCCAGTTTCATCCATCTCATTAGAACTGATTCAAAGGAATTCTTTTTAATGGCTGAGTAATATTCCATTGTGTATATGTACCAGAGCTTCCTTATCCATTCATCTGCTGATGGGCTCTAGGTTGCTTCCATGTCCTGGCAATTGTAAACAGTGCTGGAATTAACATTGGGGTGCACATATCTCTTTCAGTCTGGTTTCCTTGGTGTGTATGCCCAGGAGTGGGATTGCTGGGTTATATGGCAGTTCTATTTCCAGGTTTTTAAGGACTCTTCACACTTTTCTCCATAGTGGCTGTACTAGTTTGCATTCCCATCAACAGTGTAAGAGGGTTCCCTTTTCTCCATACCCTCTCCAGCATTTATTGCTTGTAGACTTTTGGATAGCAACCATCCTGACTGGCGTGTATTGGTACTTCATTGTGGTTTTGATTTGCATTTATCTGATAATGAGTGATGTTGAACATCTTTTCATGTGTTTGTTAGCCATCTGTATGTCTTCTTTGGAGAAATGTCTGCTTAGTTCTTTGGCCCATTTTTTGATTGGGTCATTTATTTTTCTGGAATTGAGCTGCAGGAGTTGCTTGTACATTTTTGAGATTAATCCTTTGTATCCATTTATGATAAAAACTCTCCAGAAAGCAGGAATAGAAGGAACATACCTAAACATAATAAAAACTATATATGACAAACCCACAGCAAACATTACCCTCAATGGTGAAAAATTGAAATTATTTCCCTTAAAGTTAGGAAGAAGACAAGCGTGCCCACTCTCACCACTACTACTCAGCATAGTTTTGGAAGTTTTGGCCACAGTAACAAGAGCAGAAAAAGAAGTAAAAGGAATCCAGATAGGAAAAGAAGTAAAACTCTCACTGTTTGCAGACGACATGATCCTTGACGTAGAAAACCCTAAAGACTCTACCAGAAAATTACTAGAGCTTATCAATGAATACAGTAATGTTGCAGGATATAAAATTAACACACAGAAATCCCTTGCATTCCTATACACTAACAATGAGAAAACAGAAAGAGAAATTAAGGAAACAATACCATTCACCATTGCAACAAAAAGAATAAAATGCTTAGGAGTATATCTACCTGAAGAAAAGAAAGACCTATATATAGACAACTATAAAACACTGATGGAAGAAATCAAGGAGGACACAAATAGATGGAGAAATATACCATGTTCATGGACTGGAAGAATCAATATTGTGAAAATGAATATACTACCCAAAGCAATCTATAGATTCAATGCAATCCCTATCAAGCTACCAACAGTATTTTTCACACAACTAGAACAAATAATTTCACAATTTGTGTGGAAATACATATCATTCTTTCAATTTTGTTAAATTCTCAATTTGTTTCTAATGAAAATATCCACTCCCATATAGTATCACACAATTAAATATAAAAGACTCATTGTGAAAAATGTATCATACCTTCCCTTGTTTCAGGCATGAGTAAGTAAGTATTTCTCTAGGAATAGTTTCTCTACCATCCAGGCAAAAATTTAGAGCATCATGCAGGAAGATCAGATTATTAGGTCCTTCACTGTAGGTCTTGGAAAGGAAGACATTTAGTTTCTCATGACCTAGCATATCTGCAATTTAGACCTTGAAGTTATGCCAACTCCCTTTTGCCCTTGGAGATATGACAAGAATTCTTCCTTGGAAATTGGTCCACAGGGATGACCAAATGTTGCAATCAATCCCCAGTATATGAGGTGCCCCGGAATTATTAGGATAGGATGCAAGGCATACTCTGCTCTGCTTCTGATATTCATTTTAGACATAAATTCCTGGAAGCTTTTACATTTGATCAGGAACTGAACAAAATTTCTAGGTTGATTAATTTTTCCTCAGAATAAAGCAGAATGACTACACTAAAATTTAAAAAGAATTTATCTCAAAGAAGAAATATTATATTACAGAAATTTTCAACTGAAATGGTCTTCATATTTTATTTGTGAGTAAATGTTGAAGTTGACATACTTCTAGACAGATAATTTTGGAGAAAAGTGTTTTTTGATCAACCTTGCCTCCCGGTTGATATTATTTTCAAAATTGGAAGGTTTTAGTTGAAATCAAATAAAGCAAAGATAATATCAGAGAAGTATGCATGCAGATATCATTTTAGATATATTTGCCTCAGTAGTGCCAGGACTGGTGGACCCAGAAATATAGAGTTTTTATAATCATGGTCTTTTAGCAATTTAGAAATATAATTTTGGAAGAAATTTGATTTTGAATGGTCAGGTTATGATAACTTTGTATCTTTTGGAAAGTAATGCTATGTATGTGGTACCTCTACTAAAGTCCAAAGGTTGAAAGTTATTTTTAATTAATATTAAATAATATTGGGGGAATAGAAAAGCATGGTATATTAAAATATTCTATTATGATTGTTTATGATCTATATACAGCATTTTAATAGGCATATTTGAAATTACTATGACAGGAATGTAATGGACATGCTCTCTGGAGTAAATCTATCTTGGTAGAAATACAGAGCCAACATTTAATAGTTCTAACTATGAATATATTACCCAATTCTGTTCCCTTTTTCTCATGTGAAAAATGTGGCTAATAATTCTATGGAATAATTATATTATGGGCATTAGATGTATTAACAATGGGAAGCATTTAGAACTGTGTCAGGCTTATACAAATTATTCAGTATACTACCTTTTGTTGTATTCAAATGTCAATTTACATCTATTTCTATATTGGGAATCAAATTCATATTTTGCTCTTCATACACAGTCCATACCTCATTATCATCAGTCCTTGGAAACACTAAACAAATAAAAATATGTCATGTCATATACAGAAACACAAAGCTTTTTGAAATAATTTCTGATAGATTTCAACTTGGATTTTTCAGCAGTATAGAGCTTTGAACACTATGGGTAAAAGGAATATCACTTGTGTCTGATTTCATCCTCATGGGACTCTCAGACTCTGAATATACCCAGCTGGTCCTCTTCACCCTCTTCCTCCTGATGTACCTGATCACTGTGCTGGGGAATGTGGGGATGCTACTGATAATCTGCCTGGATTCCAAGCTTCTCACACCCATGTATTTTTTCTTCAGTCACTTGTAATTTCTTGACCTCATTTACTCAAGTGTCATCATCCCTAAAACCTTAGACAACTTACTGACTTCTATCAAAACTATTTCATACCTGAACTGCTTCACTCAGATGTATTACTTTGTCTTTTTGGGTGCCACTGAATGTTTCCTTCTCTCCTCCATGGCCATGATTGCTATGTAGCCACCTGCAACCCTCTGCATTACCCCGTCGTTATGTCCATCAGGCGATGCTGCTCTCTTTGGATCTTATTTGATTGGCTTCACAGATTCCTTTGTCAATGTGCTTTGCATGAACAAATTGCATTTCTGCGACTCCAATGTAATGTATCACTTTTTCTGTGACACATCCCCAATTCTATTCCTGTCCTGCGCTGACACACACGACATTGAAATCATGACATTCATTGTTGCTAGCTGCACCCTAGTGGTGTCTCTTATCAAAATATCCATGTCCTATGTGTCCATCCTGTCCACCATCCTGAAAATTACTTCCACTTCAGGGAAGTGGAAAGCCTTCTCTACCTGTGCCTCCCCTCTCCTGGGAATAACCATCTTTCACAGCACTATGATTTTCACTTACCTAAAACCAAATAAGTCCTACTCCTTGGGAAAGGATCAAGTGGCTTCTGTTTTTTATACTATTGTCATCCCCATGCTGAATCCCCTCATATACAGTCTTAGAAATAAAGAAGTGAAAAATGCTGTCAGTAGAGTCATTCAGAAAAGAAAGGTTTCCAAGCAATTAAGATAACAGTGATGCTGAACTTTTAAGCTATTTTTTTTCTTCTTCCCTCAATAGCGTTTCCTTCCTCTTTCTTCAAAAATGAATAGAAGACTTCACCTGTTCTTTATTTATTCATTTATTCAGTAGAATTATCCTTTGCTTGATTAAATACTTTCTTGGACATTTATTATAATATGCCTTTAGAAATCCACATTGTAATTGGAAACACTGACACATGTTAAATCCATGGTGCAAATGTATCCGTTTTTAAGGGTAACTGATTAGCAAAATAGAAATTACTTTTACCACCTTTTAAAGTACATCATGCAGATTCAGAGAATTTTTATGATGGAAAAGAGCTTCATTTTAGGAACAATGTTAGTAGTTTTATACATTATTTCATTTACATTGTGGAAAAGCAGTATAGCAGAATGCTCTTGTTTTTGAACCAAACATTCCAGACTTACGATTCTAGATCTGCAACTCTTTCAGCTGTGACACTCTTAAATAAAATATTTCCTCAATCAAACATAATAAATTATGAATCCAGGTCCATAGAGTTTTTGTAAAGATTAAATCATATAATTGATGTAAGTTTTTAAGGTAATACTATTAAATACAGGGCATTATAATTAGAAAACTCTTATTTCTTCAGTATTTTTAATGTACAGTATCTTATTCGTACAGAATATTCTCTAGTTTGTAAAAAATTACTTTTGGTCAATTTAAAGGATAAACACACAAACAGCTGAAAAAAAAAAACTCAGCACCTCACAGGTTTGGATTTAAAATGGTGCCTGTCAATATTGGAGAAAACTTGAAAAATGTTAAAAATTTCAGGAAATAGAAATGTCCTAAAAATTAATAGCTGTGTACATTTTTTTCCAGATTGATAATTATGTATGCACATATATGTGTATATATATGCACACTTTATGTGCTAGAACAATACTTCTGTAATTTCACATGTACTTTTAGCAGTTTACAGTGTACATTAACAAGATTAACCTTTGACTATTTCTTTGTCAATGAATTCTAAGATGAATGTGTTTTTGATACATGGGAAAGATTAAGACTTCACAATTCTTTTGACATGAAGTGTTTGTAATCTCATCAAGTTAAAATTCTGCAGACAGTTATATCTCTTTGGTGACTATTTGAAAATATTAAAAAAATCCTTCCTTTCTATGATGTGTTAACAAATTTCAATAAGTTGCTTTTAAATTAAAACTCTGTGTATTTTAAAGTATAATTGCGTTTCTCCTGATTTCTATAGAATTTTTATGGTCATTAAAATTAAATTATTTAAATTAAGTGCTTAACTCATTTGTTTTAAATTACTTAACAGAGATAAGTTGTAAAGCTACAAATTTACAATGAATTCAGACTTTGTATTAGCTCATTAATTTTAGTCTGCTAGAGTGCTAAAAATTTCCCTTATTTTAAATTTTTTCTTGGACATAATATTGAATTTCAATCTTAATCTACTCTGATATTTAAAGGTTAAGAACATATTTTTCATTTACCAACATTTAATATTTTTTGTTTAAATTTTTGTAACTAGGTATATCATTTTTATTCACACTATAATGATTATAAACTTTCATTTTTAAAAATTAGTATTTTCTCTGAAAAACTATATTTGATTATTTTAATAATAATAATATGCAGAAGTGCAATTCTCTTTTAAGAGTTAAAAGTTTACATTGTTTTTTACTAATTCAAAACTATTAACAAATTTAAGTGTTTTAAATATGCGTTATTTTCTGACAATTTGTTTACATGATAAACTTATCATTTATCAAGGCCATTTGAAGTTATCATGACTGATTTCCATGATTTCTAGATTCTTTACTTAGAGCAATTGCTACTTGTTTTTGCTTTCATTAGTTTAATAATATACTTTTTGTCTCCTTTGTTATCATTCATAAGCATAATGTCCTTTCCTATATTTATGAGCCCCTTTCAGTTTTCTAGCCACTTTTGTAAATTATGCTTTTACTATGCTTTCATTTCCATTTCTATGATTAGGAAATGTATCTTCTTATTTTCTGCAAACAAATATGATGAACAGACTCTTGATGTGGACAATTCTTAAACTAGGTAAACTATAAAGCAACATAAACCCTATAAATTGACAATACTATTCTTATAATAATGTAGTTTAGGATACATTTTATGATAATAGAAATATAAGTAATGTTTTTACACATGTGCATTATGTTTTATAATCTATATGCCATATGAAATATTTCAACCATTTTAATTTTTCCTAACCACTCCTTGTTACATTAGTGAATACCACATTTTATGTAAAATGGAGTCTGAAGTAATTTAAAATATAATATACTTTTTTACAGTGTCATGCCAAAATGCTATTTAATAAAAGTATGATACAGAGAAAAATACCAAAAACATAAATAGCTGCATTTACTGTCAAATAATTGATAAATAGAATGATGATAATACATTTTGTTAAGTATTTCCCATCTACCAGCCAATACTCAAAGGGTTTTAGATATAGAGTGAAAAGAGTTTTTCTTCACAAGATAACTTTCAGGTAAATAACAGCAACATCTACATGTTAATTTCAGGTGATGGAAGGCCATCCTCCTAATTATTCAGTCAAAGACTTAAAAGGAATCCTGAAATTTTCTCTTTATCTCACACACCTCACATTCAATCTACCAAGATAGTATATAGATTCAAAATATAAGATATATTTGAAGTCTGACTACTTCTTAACCTTCTTTATGCTACCTACACTGGTTCAAAGAACCATCATAGTCTTAGAATTATTGCTGTGGTCTCTGGGCTTGTCTCTGCTTGGCCTGTCCCTCTTGAATTTAAATGCCAATGTAAGAGCCAGAGATATCATACTATTAAAGAGTAAGTTGGAATATATTACTTTATTCAATAATCCTACAAGTCTCATCTCACTAAGAGTAAAAAGGAAAATCTTCATAAGATCCCACTAGTCCATAAAAACATTGTATCCACTCCTAATCTCCACGAACTCATTCCTTACTATTGTATCAATTATATTCACTTTCATTTCACCACATGGCATCCTAACTCTTCTGTATATACTAATCCTGATACTACCTGGGGTTTTTCCATTTTTGCTTCATTCAGAAATTCCTCTTCATAGACAACTGCGTTTTTTCCCCTTATTCTGTTGAAAAAAAAATCCTTGCCACTTTATTTACAATTGTACCTGTTCTCTATTCCCTTTCATGTTTCATTTGTTTCCCATACCAAGTATCTACATCTGACTATTAATACTATTTTGTTAGAGCAGTTTTGCATTTTTTTCTTGTCTGCTCCACCCCCCCCCCACACACACTGTCATATAAACTTAATCAGTTCATGATTCTTTCTTGCTTTGCTCAACATTGTATCCCCAGCATTAGATCTATGCCTCAAAATGTATCTGAAGGTTGCAATTTACAGATGAGGAAACTGCAGAGCAGAAAGAGTAAATAGTGGTCCACAGTCACTCCACTAGTTAAAGAACAAGCTCACATTTGAACCCAGAAACCCTACCTCTATTGTTAATATGCTTTATCACCACTCTTTGACTGGATTTTTTTTAAACAAAAGTGTACTATAATTATCAGAGTTGAAAAAGTAGAATTCATAGCTATATTAAAGAAAACATTAAAGAAACTACCAGGGGCTGTTGAAAGATGTATGTTGCTGGCAGACATTCTCTGGAAATGCTGATTGAAGACAGTGTAGTTTTGGCATTACTAGCTGTGGAAACTTACAGTTACAGTCCTATTCACAGAAGAAAATATTTTGTAAAATAAAGAACAGTTTATCCCTCAAAAGTATTACTCTTAAAAAAAATCTGTAATAGTCAGGGAACAGGCTATGCTGGTGTAAGAGTGGGATTCAGAAACAGAGTGGCTCAATAAAGAAAAATTATTCTCAGTTGCAAACTCCTAGATGTTAACTGGTTAGGCTGCCTGGGTGACTCTTTTTCACAGAATAATCCTGGAAATTACATTGCTTTTATATTTTTGATTGGTTAACTCCCAAATGTTGCCCTCTTCTGCATTGTTGAAAGTATAATTTTTTTTAAGTATGGGTAGAATTTACAAGTAAAAACATCTGTGCCTGAGTCTACTCTTCAGTGTCTATCCAAGCTAACTGAAAGCATGAATCCACTTAAGCAAATGTGTGAAAATGTTCATAAGCAGTATGAATGACAGCTATAGAATAGAAACAACTCAAATGGCCATCAGAAGATGACGAATAAATAAAGTGTGATATGGCCATTCAATAGAGCAAAGTATGGCAATAAAGAAAAAATAAATGAGTGAGTATAAATAGAACATGTGAGTATACATGTTACTCACACTCAGCTAGAGCCAGACATCCTGGAATGTGAAGTCAAGTGGGCCATAGGAAACATCACTATGAACAAAGCTAGTGGAGGTGATGGAATTCCAGTTGAGCTATTTTGAATCATGAAAGATGATGCTTTGAATGTGCTACGCTCAATTTGTCAGCAAATTTGGAAAACTCAGTAGTGGCCATGGAAGTGGCAAAGGTCAGTTTTCATTCTAATCGCAAAGAAAGGCAATGCCAAAGAATGCTCAAACTACCGCATTATTGCACTCATCTCACACGCTAGTAAAGTAATACTCAAAATTCTCCAAGCCAGGCTTCAACAATACATGAACCCTGAACTTCCAGGTGTTCAAGCTGATTTTAGAAAAGGCAGAGGAACCAGAGATCAAATTGTCAACTTCTGTTAGATCATCAAAAAAGCAAGAGAGTTCCAGGGGCGGGGGGAAACACATCTATTTCTGCTTTATTGATTATGCCAAACCCTTTGACTGCTTGGATCACAATAAAGTGTGGGAAAATTCTGAAAGAGATGGGAGTACCAGACCACCTGACTTGCCTGTTGAGAAATCTATATGCAGGTCAGGAAGCAACAGTTAGTACTGGACATGGAACAACAGACTGGTTCCAAA